TTAATGATTTTTTGTTTGTTTCTCTTAAAGTTGCATTCTTTATTTTGTTTTTTTTCCTAACGTGAAAATTTATTTTTTTTTTTTTATTACCCATGAATTTTTTTTTCATTTTGTTAATTTAAATTGTTTTTGTTTGGTTTTTTAATTTAACACTACGAGATTTGTAGAGTTTAAAAAATTTTCTATACTTTTATATATTTTTTTCCTTAATTTTTTTTAATTAAAATAGAATTAAAAGAAAAAAAAATTAAAATTACTTTTATAATTTCCTCTAATGCCATAATTACAAAATCTCTTAAGATTTCGAAAATATGTATGAGAAAAAAGTAAGGTTGAATAATTATAAAAAAGAAATGGAAAAATCAAAAAGAAAGCAAAAAAAATAATTAAAATGAGAGCAAAATTTAATATTGAAGTTATTTTGTTTTTTGGTTATTCAAAACCAGAACAGGAATTCAATTATACCTACTATCATAGGATAGTAGGACAAAAATATAATTGAAATTTGTCACTTTTCTCCCTATCTTGTAATGTAATTATATTTTTAAGAGAGAGAGAGAGAATATATATATATATAAGAAAATATATTCGCAAAATTAAGTAATTAATATATATATATATATATATTTGCAAATTTAAATTATTTTCAGTTCAGAAAACTAAAATTTGTATTTTTTTTGTGTTTACTAAGTGTATTCTTATTTTTTCTTTATTTTTTTAAATTTTTTTTTCATTTAAAATTTATATATGGAAAAATTTGAGATCTTCATTAAGTTTTGAAATTTCACATATATATATATGGATATATGCAAAATATATACATATATATATATTATATAATAATATAAATTATAAAAAGAAATTTTTTGTTTTACTTGTTTTTTTTTTTGGTTTAAATTTTTCCAAAGTAAGTACATAATTTTCACGTTTTCTTCCATTTTAATTTTTCTGCTATTTTAATTTCTTAATCTTTCATTTTAATTATGTGTTCTCATATATATATATATATAAATATATGAAGATATTTATATATAATATACATAAAAACATATTCATATATCTCTAAAATTTTGTTAAAAAAAAACTAAAATAAAAAAATTTATTTAATTTGAATCGGAGAATTTCGAAATATTTTAATTTGTTTTTCAATTTCAGTGATCAATAATTCACAATATTTAAAATATTTTTGTGAATATTCATTACCAGAAAAAGTAAAATTTTATATAATTGTGAATGAAATATTTATGAATTAAAATAATTTTTTAAGATGGAAATTAATTAATAGAATTATGCATATTTTGAGAAGAAATATTCATTTTTTTAATAATGAATATGCACAATTAACTATTTTGATTAATTTTTTCCTCCAAAATTTTATTAATTTTCAGGTCAAATTAATGAAGAAATATTTTGCAACTTGTTATTACAATAAATTTATATAATTTTTTAGTGGGCAATACAATTTAAATTGTTGAATAAGTCAAATTGACGTTGGATCTGAAATTTTGTAGACGCCCGCCCTGTTTTATTTGATTATGTTTTTTTTTTAGTAAATCTAAAATTAATTTACTTGCTTCCACAATATCTTTACAATATGCTTGAAAAACAAATATTATTTATAGGCCAATTCAAATTTTTTAATAAATTTTTGATAAACTAAAGATATTTTTTGTTTTAAAAATCTTATCGCCTTCAAAAATTTAAATTTAATAACCTTTTCAAGAGTTAATAGAAAATTTTTTGAGTAAATCACTTGAAATTTTCATTGCAAGAAAGTAAAAACTAATATTTTTAAAGAGAAAAAATATTGAATAAAAAAATTTTTGGTAAAAAAAGAAAAAACAAAACAAATTAAAAAAAAAAGCGAATTTCTCTAATTATTTTTTTTTTTTTTAATTTTTTTTGTGTGTGGAAATGTTTGTAATTTTTAGTTTTTTTTTTTTTTAATTTTTTTTTTTTGCATTTTTTGTTTTTATTTGTTTAATATTTATAATGGAATTCATCAGAAGTTTCTTTTAATTTCTTTGTTTGTTTTTTTTTTCTTCACGTTTTTTTCTAAAGATTTTTCATATTTCTTGTTAATTAATAAAATTTTAACAAAAAAATTATGTAAAAATTAAAAAAAAAATTTTTTTGAAAAATTTCCTTTTTACAACAAACAGATTCGGGAAAAATAAAAATCAAAAAACTTTCAAAATTGAAAAATTAGAAAAATTTTTTTTTGCCTCATTATTTTTTTTTTTTTTTGGGTAATTATGATAATTACAATCATACTTATTTAATTCAGACATATTGCAATCTGTAACACTTTTAGAAAAGCATTGTAAATCTAATTCAAATGGAACCGTACCTTATTATAAAAGAGTTCATTTCCAATTTGAATTATGGAAAATAAAAATTGAATTATTTGAAGAATAAGATTTTTTAATTTACAATTAAATTTAAAAAAATTCATTTTACTGAATTAATCACATTAAATTTTTATGCTTATTGAATATTTTTGAATTTATTTTACTTGTTAAGAATTTTATATAAAAATTTATTTTTTGGGAAATATTTATGTAATCATTAAAACAATTACATAGAATAAACAAATTAGTTAATTATTAATTTTCTTTTATATTTTATTGAAAAATTGAATTTTGATTTCAAATTGTTAATGTACTTTATACTATAATAGTATACAAATCCATTAATAATGGTTTACAAATTTATTTTATTTTATTTCACTCATATTTTTTTTCAAAACATTTTTTGAAGAATTTAAATTAAAGCAAAAATTTAATGTGATCTTTAAAATTAAATAAGTGTGATTGTACAAAATATTGAATTCGGTTTTTATATTAAATATTTTGTAATTTAATTTTTTTTATTTATAAAAATTTTTTGTAAGTATATTTTTTTGATTTAAATATATATTAGATATACTTGATATATATATATATATAAATATATATATATATATATATATATATATATGTATATGTATATAAGAAGATAGAACAAATTTTCTAAATACAATTTTAAATATTTTTCAATATTTTGTTTTTCAACTTGTGCTGATATATATATATATATATATATATATATATAACGATAAGAATATTATGTACTTGAAAAGTTGTAAAATTAATTCTTTTTATAATATATATATATATATATATATATATATATTTAGTTTTTTTTTGCAAATAACTATTAATTTATTGTAATAATTTATAATGATAATTTAATAATAAAGTAAATTTTAAAAGATATATACTTGTATATATTATATTTTTGAGTTTCTCTGAAAATTTTTTAAAATTTTTTCTTTAATATTATTTTTTTGTTTAAATTTCAATAAAAATATATATATATATATATATAGTTGAAAAGAATTTAAAATGATTTTATATTATTCCTTTCAGTTTACAGAATTTTCTAAAGTTTCGGGTGCGATTTAACACAAAAAAAACAGTAAAAAAAAACTAACCGCAAATAGATTATACTCTTAAAAATTTAATTAAAATCGAGATTTTTTGTTTTTTTTTTTTGTAATATATGTATACATAAAAAAGTAATTAAAGGCAATTTGTTTGTTTAGCTAAAATATTTGGCTAAAATCCATAATTTAAGAAATTAAATTTTTTTTTAGTAAGGATAATGAAAGTTAAATTTAATTTTACTTTAATATTTTTATATATTTGAATATTTTCCATTTATATTTATAATCGAAGCTTGTTATATTTCATTTGTTCTCATCTTTTAACAAATAATTTTTTCATTTACAATTTTTTAAGATTTTTGATTTTAAATTTTTTTCCTTCTCTGTTTTGAATTTTTTTCAAGTTTCCTTTTTTTTTAATTTTCATTCATTTATATATGTATATATATATATATATATATATACATATATATATATATATATATATAATTTTCTTTTAGTATCTCGTTTTTTTTTCCTTTTTTTTTTGGTATTTAATATTCTATTTAATTTTGTTTTCTTTTTTAGAGTATAGAAAGAGGACATATAGGGACAAGATTCAATCTACATTATATGTACATACATGATATATACATATATATATATATATATACATATATATATTCATATATTAATATATATATGTATATACATATATATTTCATATATTAATGTATATATATATATCCATATATATACTGTTTATATACATAATTAATTAAAAAAAAAAATGGAAAGACTGGGAAAAGATTTTCTGATTTTCCTTAAAAATATACATACATATATTGTACATATATGTATATTTATATATTGTATATTTGTATATTGATATATTGTTATATCCTTACATATTATCATATATTAATTATTATTTACACAAATTCGGTACATGTAATTGCAATAATTAAAATTCAAAAGATGAATTTCAAATTTTTACAAAAACAATTTCTATAAATCGAGTAATTTTCTCTGACTTCAGGGAAATATAACGTTATTATTATGAATAATGTAGTATCAAATATTGTATTAAAATTTAGTAATTTTAAAATTTGGACACATTTTTTAATATAATTTTTACAATACTTTTAAATACATTTTTATTAAATCTATAATTGTAATATTTTGGCAAAATTTTTTCGGATTGCTGAAAATTTAATGTCAGTGGTTTAATTATTGCTACCCCAATATATAATATATTCAATATAATAGCACACATTTTTGAACAGTGTATGTTCGCAATATCAAGAGCTTTCATCACACTTTTTTTTCTTTTTTGAATGTAATAACTTGTAAAGTTACACACATTCCCTGAAATCAGAGCATTTTTTAGAGATATTTTGAACTCAAGTTCAAAACGATTATTTTACTATAATTTTGAAATTTAATTGTATTAATTTCCTTTATGATGAAAGCTTTTTACATTGGAATTGTTGGAGTCGTTAAGTGGGTGCATATTTAAAAAACATGCTTAAAAGTTTGCCGGAACCCGGGGAGAGTTCGTATTTTGAATTTTTGTATCACGAAACAAGAAATATTTTATCTTAAAAGCCGCCGCAGGCCGGCCCCCCAACCCTACTTTTTTAAGTAATTCTCAAATATACATGTAATATGTTTGTAAAATTTCTTATATATGTATATATATATATATGTACATATGCATATGCAATATGATCAAGTTTCTATTTTCTGTGTATTTATATTATTCTTCCTTCAAAAAAAAAAAAAAAAAAAAAAAAAACTACTTAAGTTTGTTGGTAAAATTTTAAATTTCACTTCTGTTTCTTTCTGTTTCTTTGTTTGTTATTTTTCATTTTCATTTTCCTTTGAAATGTAATGATTGTTGTTGTTGTTGTTTTCTTATATATCTTTGTTTAATTTTTTCTTTTTTTTTTTAAATCCTTAAATCAAAAAACAAAAATTATTTTTTTTTTTTATTTTATTTTTAAATTTAATTATAATTAAGTTTATATCGAAATTTTTTTGTTTTTCTCTTATATTTTTTTTGTTTGTTTTTAATTTAATTTAAATATAATTCAATAAGTTTTTTTATTTTGTTTTTTATTTTTTAATAATAATGTTTTGTTTTTTTTTATTTAATATTTAAATTGTAATTTTATATATAAGTGTTTTTTTTTTAAATTTAATTTTTTTTATTTTTAAATATTTAAATTGTTTTTTTTTTGTATTTTTTGTTTTTTTTTTTTTGTTTTTTTTAATATTTTTTTATCCATAGCAACAGCATTGCGCGATGTTATTGCGCACAGCTACAGTCTTCATCAACATCTTAAACAAATAGAAAGGCTTAAAAAGAAGAAATTTAGCAGCTCACTTCGATGTCATCATAGTCACGAATTCTAAAATTAGAAAAAGAGGGGAAAAATAAAGAATTAAAAATTTATATAATACGAAATTTTATTAAAATAAATATTTTTAATAGAAAAAGAAGTGCAGAAGTACCCTATAGTACCCCAGGAATATAATGAAATTCTACTATTATATTTTAATTATTTTTTTGGAATAATTTTATTTTCAAACAAACCTCAATTGAGTGATATTTATCGTAAAAATTTAATTACAGACACGAATTACCAGCTTCGAAAAAATTAATAATAACTAAAATTGCAAAATTTTTAGAAAAAGCGGGATATGCAATGCTAAAAAATTTTTCTCACTCTAAAACTACACTATACAAATATAATATAATAATCCGAACTCACTTTATTCTCATTTGGCGAGTAAAATAGTGAAATATACGATTATGTCATTAAACTTTATAAATAAATTATTTTACGCTTAATTCATTTGGTAAGAACTGGGTATAAGAATCGATTTAATTACTTAATATTAAATATAAATAAAATTTCTATTTAAAAACAATATTTAAATTCGATAGAATTACAATTTATTGATCTATTTCAAGAATATTACAACAAAATAACCGAAATAAGTACATAACTCAATGGAAACACAATTTTATTATTTTGGTAGCCCTGTAATCAGTTCTAATGTGCATACTATAAAAACTAATTATCAAAATTTGAAAAAAAAAAAAATTATTCATTTTAAATGAATGTATTAAAATTTTCGAAATTCTTTAACCTTATTATAAATAATGTGTTTATATACACATTATATGTACTGACTAATCTAAAAATATGGTGATTTGCCAGAAAATTTAATTAAAATAATATTAACCCCTTTACTGACCTAATGAATGTTAACAAGAAATTTTTAATACGTAATATATTTTGAGTTTTTTCAATTTTTTTTTTAAATTTTATTTGTACACCTGTAATTTAAATCACATTTTATTTTTAAAATCAATTAGCTATCTATATTCCTAGGTATTTATGTATAACCAAATAACAAAATAGTTTCATCATATTTTTTTGGAGAGATTTGATTTTATAAATTTACCTTCGTAATTGACCTGACCATCACCATCAATATCAGCTTCACGAATCATTTCATCTACTTCTTCATCTGTTAATTTTTCACCCAAATTTGTCATAACATGACGTAATTCAGCCGCTGAAATAAAACCGTTACCATCTTTATCGAACACTCTGAAAGCTTCTCTAATTTCTTCTTCACTATCCGTATCCTTCATTTTACGTGCCATCATTGTTAAGAATTCAGGAAAGTCAATGGTACCATTACCTAAAATAATCAAATAAATTTTGTTTTTTTTTATTAAACAAATTTTTTTTATAATTTGCGTTATTATATTTAATTTGTATTTGTATATTATGTAATTAATTAAAAAAAAAAATACGTCATTAATATTATTTTCACCTTTTGAGAACAAAACTGACTGGTTAATATTGGAATTTCACCAATGCAAGTACATTTCTGAATCATTTTTGCATTTACATTTTCAAGAATTAGTTACTTTCGCAGAATATCGTTAATCTGATCAATCATGTCAATTACTTTTATTATATAGCAAATTATGCTGTTATATGCAAATATAATGATTTGGATTTTTTTAAGGTTGTAATCTTTTTATTCTTGCCTGTTTTCTACATCAAAATCAGTCATTTTTAAAAACTACTTTTGGTAAGTGCTGTGACACAACACATGAATAAATGCAAAGAAAAAAAATTAAAAAATGACAATTGCTGCGTCAGCCACAAAAACTTGTATTTCATTACACTAACGTCAAAAATTATTAAAATTCATAACCATTTGCATCTTACTCCTTTTTCAATACATTTTTGACATTGCGTTGCGACTGTAATATTTGTCTATATGCAATAATAGATATGTGTGTATTTATTACATATAAAGATAATTTAAAACACTATTAAATTTTCGAAAAATGACAGGGGTGTACCGTAGAATTTCACATACAATATAGGTATGCACAAATTCATTTAAGAAGAAAAATAATTTGGGTTACTTAAAAAGAAAACTACTTTCTAATGTCATCAACCTCTCTCTTTTATTTTTGCATATAAATTTCTTTGTAAATTTTCAAAAATACCACACATTCGTCATAATTGTAAGATTTTTTTCTTTGTAAAATTGTGAATTTTTTTTCATTATAAAAATTCACAATAACATTTTGAAGAAAAACCAAAAAAAAAATGTTTAATTTTTCTCTTTTGTTAGAAACAAAAGATGAATTTTAATTTCTAAATATTTAATTTTAATTTTCTATCAAATCAAATAAAAATGTCAATTTCTTTTCTAAATTATTACAATTTTATTTCAATCAAATTGTTATATTAGCGTTTTATAAATGTATATAGAAAAATATTTATAGAAAACAATTAAAAAAACAAAAGACAAACTAAAATAAAGGAAAGGCATGTTAGGGTATAACAAGAAGAACAAAAAGAGAGAAAAATAAAAATATTTTGCAAAGAAAATTAATTTCATATAAAAATTCAATTGTCTATCATGAAAAATATCTAGTTCTCAATTTTTTCATCTTGTTCCTCACAAAAAAGAAGCAAAAACATTAAAAAAAAAACATACGGGAAAAAAATTAAGAAAATTTTAAATTTTTTTTTGTTTCTCCTTTTTTCTTTTCTAAAAATAAATGAAAATCACACTTGTTTCTAAGAAAAAAGAAAAAGAAAGAAAGAAAAAGCGAGAGGTACAAGAATAAAAAAAAAATCACCGGAACAAATATTCGAAATATTTATTTTCTGTTTTTTTTTTTACTTTTTTTTTATTTGCTTTTTTCAAAAATAATAAGAAAAATAGGCAAAAATAAAAGGAAAACATTCATTCCTAAAAATAAATATAAAAATGTGAAAATTTAAAAAAAAAACCTAACAAAAATAATAAAAAATAATGTGGGAAAAATTCTAGTTTTGAAACAATAGAAGTTTTTAAATATATAGGGTAAAAGTAGACTAAGAAAAAAAAACACTGATTTAATTATTTTACTAATAATTCATAAATTGATTTACTATAATGAAACGCGACAAATATACATATGTAAATGTCTGAATTTGACATAATTGTATAGTACATTTGACGTTCTATACGACCACGAACTTGGATTAAGGAAGTTAAATACCATTCAATTGTTGTAAAACCATTACCATTACAGAAAGGTGACCATGACAAAGGTGATTATGTCAACTACGTCAGTCACTTTAATATTCAAATGACATTTTTATTAAGCATTCAAATGGTCATTTTTAATATGTCATTTTTAACTTCATTTTTAACACCGTTTACGTTAGCAACAAAGAAAAAACTGAAACTCATGACGCTAACTTTAAAAGGTATTTGGTTTCATGACCTTTGCAAATTGTGTGCAAATATCGTTCTATTAAATTATAAATGAGCGCATTTTTGAGCGAAAATCTAAATTTATTATGTTGTTTCTAAAAAAAGTGTTCTAAAGTGTAAAAATATTCAAATTTATAAATTTCATACAAAATGTTAATTATAAGAATTTTTTTTTCATTTTTTTTTCTTAAATATTTTCACTCAACAAATTTGATAGCTTGATAAATAATAAAATAATTATTAAGAAAATTATATGAGAGATGATGGGTTCGAATTTGAAGATGTTGTCAAAAATTTTTCTTTTTAAAGAATAATAAAAACAGAAAACAAGTAATAATGAAAAATACAAAAAAAAAATTTTAAAATTTTTCATGAATATTGCCAAAAATTTAACCCACACAAAATTTTATACTTATATTATGGTTGATTGTAAATTAAAAATGTATTTGATTTAAAAAAAAAAAAAATCGGAAATTTAATAATTTTAAAGCAAGTATATACCGATTAAGATTTCACTATTTATGGGAATTCCCCAACAATATTATTAATTTTGTGTATAGGATTTAATTTTAAATTTTTATTAATTATACATTTAATGTTAATAATATTGAAATGTGTGTATATAAATTTTTTTTATATAATCTTGTATTCCAAATGGATTCATGTTTAATCTTGCCGAATACTAGCTCGAAATCATTAAAGGTGCAGTAGGGCGGACTATTCCACTTATTAAATTTTTCTATGATAATTCTGATAGTGTTAGAATAGTCTATACAACTTCTGTTCTTACGGAATTTGGCCTGTTCTTCTTCGAATACTTTATCTATTTTTTGGTTCGATTCTGTCCGAAAAGCATAGCTGACGATTAGGATCAGCCCTAAGTAGTTCAGGTTGCTGTCTTTATTATTGAGTTGTGTTGTCTTTCAGTTTCATGATTGCGTCCTTTATCTTTATTTGGAGGCTTATTGTTAAAGTAGCCAAAAGATTGGAATTAAATAAATAAATTCAAAAAAATAAAATCGAAATAATTTTTACTTGCTTGGACAATAATATGTTAAAAAATATGCTTAAAATAAATTACAGAAAATATTTTAAAATTAATAAGGGTAATTTTAATCTTAAATAATATTTTACATATAAATATGTGCGATATATAATATACATATTTGAATGTATATGTGCGTACTTATGTAATCTAGTAAATTTAGAATCAAAATGAAAGTGTTATACTATAGAAAAGTTTAGAAACGCAAAAATTTTAGTTTTATAAATTTTTTTTGTTAAGATTTACATTTACTTATTTTTTTTTTTATTTTGTCTAATTTTAAAAATGACACTAAACAGAGTTCATTCTACCCAAAAAATTCAAAAAAAAAAAAAAAAAAAATTACGAAAAACTGTTCACAACAGACAGAGCATAAAATTAAAGAAATATTATAAAAATTAAATTGTAAACATAAACATATACATATACTTTTATATATTTATATATGTATACGCGTGTAAATATATACAAGCGAATGTATTTTATGTACATTTTATATTATATATTATAAGAAAGATAAATATGAATTTTATAAAATACAGATTTAAATTGAAAAAGAAAGCAAAAATTTTAAATATAATTTGTTGGAGAAAATATTCGAATAAACGAAGCTACGTGCTAATAAGAACGTTTTAAATATAAAATTATTTAAAAAATTTTTTATTCAGATTTAAACAAATTAAACTGCACTTTTTGTATATTTTCTTTCATTTAAAAATACTTCACTTTGTAATATATATGATATACACCAAACTGAAGCTGAAGCTTAACTCTAAAAAATCCAGTGGAAGATCGTAATATGCTCGCAAGTGAGTAGTGGGAATTATATATATACATATATATCCCATATCTGTTACATATATCATAAATTGGATATATTAATTTTACATATGATTTTAAATGTACAATATATGAGTAACTCATATAGTTGTACTATACACGATATATACTAAAAAATATATATGTACACATAATTATGAAAAATGTATATATATATATAAATATCAGTTATGATATGTAACTTAAGCTTTTTATATACATCGGTTATTTATATTATACATATATATCAGTTATATATATCAGTTATTTATATATATATCATTATATATATCAGTTATTTATATCTTAAATGATATATATGAGTTATATATGCATATATATCACAATATATATCAGTGCAGTAAAACTAATATATATCGTATTAAACAGTTGATATTATTAAATAATTTTGTCATTTTATTTTCGAATTTCGTCAATCGAAGTTTGGGATTATAGCTTATTGATAACTGGAATTATACGATAATTCTAGTTTAATGTTAATAAACAAATTTACTGTCAGAATTCGAATCTCATGCTTAACAATGGGTTTGAAATTTTATGAAATATAAACCATCGCAAGTATTTTGTTATTATTCTTTTTTTTTTATTTTTTCGCCTTCTTTCAATAATCCAGTTGATGTTGCTGTAGCAGTACCCTAACCTAAACAAGATAATTTTTTTTTCTTTTTGTTAATTTTATTTTAGAATTTTGGCATTTTACAAAACGTCGTCTAATTTTGAAAGCAAAAATTTTTTTTTTTTAATTTTTTTGGCAATATATTCAAGACGAAAAAATAGAGGCGCTTCGAATAATGTTTTTTATTTCATATTTCATATTTTTATTTTAAAATTTTTTTTTGTTTTGTTAGTTTGATTAGTTCCTGTAATTTTATATGAAATATTTTTTGAAAAAAAAAGAAAACGTTTTTTTCTATAATTATTTTAAATGCATGTGATATATATTATGTATATATCATATATACACAATATATATCACTTATATATGCATATATACCACAATATTTTTATGAAATTTTAGGAGAAA